CCCCAAAACCCCAAAACCCCAAAACCCCAAAACCCCAAAACCCCAAACAGAATCACTCAAGTTGAATTTTACTCATCCTTATATGAGCGTGATAAATAATCATTATCTGGTTCTCAGTATTTTTCGTAAATCTCTCGCCTTTTGTCTTCCATCGTTTGCTCACTAGTTGGGTTGTTCCTGAAGTAGTGTTTTAAGTAGATCTCCTCTTCAGCAATATCGGCTTCATCCTTTGAAGCAAGCTTTGCTACAAAGCTAGTGTCCCTCATGGTAATTCTAGATAGATCAAGTTGCAAATCACGAGGAACTATTTCAGATTGCTTAATGTTATTAATACTGGACTGGCTTGGAGGATCATTGATCGCTCTGCGGGACGATATTTTACGGTTCTTTCTCTTTGTTGAATTCACCCCAATTTTCAAGCTGCTCATCCTCTTCATTGTCTCCAATCCGATATCGGACTTAAACACAGACTTGTAGTTTCTTTCCTTGTCAGGTTTGTTTGGGGTCACAAAATTCTGAGGGATTTCTCTTTGTCAGTGATTATGAATAGTATTGGACTGCACTTCATACATCTGCTGGCTATGGTCATCCTGAGGTTCGTTTTCTGATGAAGCTTTACTATGATGGCTAACACGAGAATTATTGGTATTATTCCTAGAATTACAAAATGAGTCGCATTGCTTGCTGGTATGGTCAGCTAAGAAGTCCTCCAAAACCTTGGCTCTCTGCTTCAGGTCAAATACATTAGTCTTCATATTTTTAAGGTTGTTCTTGGTCTTATCAAGCTCATTCTTGAGTTTATTGATAATTATTTCTTTATTCATGAGATCTCTTTCTAATTCTGAAATCTTATAGTCTTTCTTTGGAATAATGTTGGCAAGATAATTCTCTAGTTTATCCTGGTTTTCTTTATATGATTCATAGATAATACTGAGATCCTTCTTGTTAGAGTTATCTCCAGCGTAGAAATTGCCATCTCTGTTACTTTGTAGTGTATAGTTCTCATCTGTGATTGTTTCAATATTTTCAGCACTCTCAGTCATCATAAAACTACAGTCAGTTATGGGGTGATTGTTGATCATTCCTTTAATCTGATGTTCGAGAGATTGAATTCTGCTTTCAAGAACCTCTCTTTCGTTCTGGTGAGATTTATTTTAACTCAGATAGAATTCAATCATGAAGATGTTTGAGATCCTCGATCTCTTTTTCATACTTTTTGATGTAATCTTGGTCTCTCTGATGTTCGTTTTTCATTTCCCGGATTTTAGAGCATAATTGATCTATTTCTTTCTGATTTGACTGTCGGATATTATCTATAAACCAGTCAGTTGTATACTCAAGAAAATAGATAATGCCACACATACCTCTAATTTTATCATCCTTCATCTTCTCGATATCCTTGAGTGCTCTTCTGAGTTCTTCGCTCAAACCCTGGACAGCATTTTGCATATTCCCATTTTTCCTTTCTTCTCTCAACTTTTCAATTTCATCTTCTAGTCCCTAAACCTGAGATTCTGAAGAGTACCATATTGTCCTTCTCTAGGGAATAGATTTTGTTCTGCATCTTGACCATTTGGTCAAGATGGTCAGCTTTAATATCGATCATTTCTTTGAGAAATTGCTCTCTATTCACCTTTAGAGCTGCTCTTTAGCTTCCTAGAGAAGGGTCATCCAAGAGCTTACTTCTTCTCTGGTGTTACAAATGGAGTTAATTGAGGAATAATACTTGTTGTTCTCCTTTAGGTCTTCTATTTCTTTACATTTTAAGTCATATTTTTGCTGGAGTAAGGCGGTCTTGATTTCATTGCTGGAGTTGAGATTTCTAATTTTATTTTTCATACATTTTTCTCAGCTCTATTGGATCCTCATTATTTATACAGCTATTGCTGATATCTCCCAACACTTTAGAGTCTCTTAAGGGTAATTTATGGCAACGCGGGCTACAAGATGAGACTGAAGGTTACCTAATTGATCAGTTGAGTCTTTCAGCAGGAACCTTCTTGGTAGGAGTCATCAAGGCCTTGCTAGCACTAGCTGGGGTCTTGATCACTACAATATTGGCTTCATTATAGACAGACATTATAGTCGTTAAAATAAAATACTTTCACGAGTAACAGCTTTTTCTGGGGTTTTGGGGTTTTGGGGTTTTGGGGTTTTGGGG